CTTTCGCATGTCTATTTTAACTCTTAAACTTTTAAAAAGTAATATTTTTTTAGTACCTAAGAAATAATCATTTGGTCCTCACCATTAGTTTTAATTTCTAAAAATTTCATAAAATAGCTGTACAAATATGTTAAGGATACGTACTCAATCACCTAAATTGAAGGTGAATATTAAATAAACAGATATTAGTAAGCAAAATAATGTAGCAAGTATAAAATGACTATTTTTGGAAGTCGAAGACTAAAATAGACATTTTTAAAGTCCATATACCAAAATTATTAATTTTGTTTAAGCTGAAATAAAAAACATAGATGTCAATTTCAACGTAGCTCAACTGGTTAAGACATATATATCCTCAAATACGTAGAAGTTTCGAATCCTCACCCCTGTCGACCATGTTTTGTAACTAAAAAGAATCTTTAAAAGTCTAATGACCAAAATGGAACAAATCGCATACACATATATTATAATATGTCAATTAAATAAGTGATGAAATTAATACGTTGAGGTTGTTTTCAAACCAAAAAAATAAAATAAAATTAATACGTTGAGGTTCAATTATAAGAAACAAGAAGCTCTTTTCGCAAATTTATGATAATCAAATTCACATGGTTAGAAAACCTATGGTAGTAACTTTTATTAAAATATAACTAATGAAAATTGAAAGATTTGAGATAATTAGGGTAAAATTGAAGCTGACTGTTCCAATGGGGCATGATTTTTATAATCAATCAAAATCACTCTCAAACGCATTCAAAATCTCCAATCAATGTGATTTTTTATTTCTTGAATATAATAATTTGGAGATACGAGGGATCGAACTTCCGACCTCAAGGAAATAATTACGTGTCAATTACCATCGAGCTATGCTCATGTTGACTCCAATCAATGTGATATTAATTGAGTAATTGGAATTACTATGCATCTCTAGTAATGTATTGGTTAGAATTGTTACATTTGATTTCGATCTTTAATCCTAACTTCATAAAAGATCTAGGTGCAATCCATCCTAGGAAAAAATTAAAACATAATATTAGAATTAATACGGAAAAAATTTCTGGTACTAGGAAAGTACTGTACTCCCTTTCATTTATTGATTGCCACATCAGTATATTAAAAATGACGTGGGATCAATTTTTTTCTTATTATTATGTAAATGAAAGAGAGTATGGGACTCCCATACTACTAGAAATTTTCCCAATTCCTAAAACTTCTAATCACCAATCTTGGCCAGATATATATATTTTTTTTACCGAATGCTCGTTTGAGCTTATTGGTCCTAATATTATCTTAAGATTTATATAGAATTCTATCTCAAAACTAATGGACAATGAGAGGAGAAATTCACGTGTCTTATAAATCTTATTAGGTCTCATAATCTTTTTGATGTGAGATCCTTAACAAGTATATACAAATCTAAATCTAGAAATCTTCATCACTCCGTAGTTTTTCATATCTTTCTTAACGTTTCAAAGTTAAAAGTGTATACTACTTGACATTTTTAAAAAATTTCAAATATTAAAAGATCAAACGTAGGTTCGAGTATTGTTGATTTTGTATACGATAATCTAAATAGACGTAGATCTTTCTCAATTAGAGCATATTGTTAAATTGAACTGTACATATAGGAGATTCTTTTCTACCTTGAACCCCCTTCACCTTAATCTATTTCAATTATACCATCTTATTTCTCATGAACAAGTGATCCAACTCTAGAGTTTTCTCTCTAATTAAGAGTTTTGTGTCTTAATCTCCCACAATAAAAACAATATAAGCTATATGAAAGACTCTAAATAAAAAAAAAAAAATCCTTAGTGTGTATATATAGTAAACATTTGTTTTAGCTAAAAAAAATTAGATTCTCTTTCACTTAAAAGACTTGATCATGATTATTCAAGAACACTCTTCTCACATGTTTCTCTTATATGTTTTACATTTTATAAGATTTTCACATTTCCTATTTGGTTATTTAGTTTCATTTTTTTTAGTACAACAGGTTTGAGAGGAGATTCGAATTGATAGCCTTGTGGTTGGAGGTATATATCAATTACCGTTGAGCTATGCTCGTTTTGGCTACTTAATTTCAATTTTATTGTGGTTTTGATTGAGTAGAACTTTGCTCATGTGTGTTTAGGTTTGCACGCTATTGAATGTTCAGTCTCATCGCTATAAACCTTGGATTCGTGGTACAAGTATATATATTTTACACGTCGTGGCTATCTTTTGTTTACATTTTGGTCACTCTGAAGTGGGTTTGAACCTACAAGATAAAAAGCTTCTAAGTTCTAAATCAATCTACAATAGTTTCATGTAAGGCATCTATAAATATTGGTGTTAAATGTCATGGCTTGAGATTTGGTGCCTTAATTTTATTAAATTCACAGTCCCCAATTATTGATTATCAACCTTTGGTACCAAGAGGGGAATTGTAAATTATTCTCCTATCATTTTGGGAATGTGTTTTATATAATTAATTGTGGCTTGATTTATTGTCATACAAGATTTTGGACCATGTAGTTGCTCTATCATATTCTTCATCAAGGCCAGCAATCACTCTAAAATCAAAGTTCTTAGGTATAGCTCTTCATCAAATGAAAATATTGAGATATTTTCCTAGACCCTTTACTAGATTGTTGCGAGACCTACCCTCAACTTTGAAAAAAAATGTAAAAGGGAAATCCAAAATATCTTTTTTTTTTCTTTCCAAGAGCATTTATAATTCAATTCTAAACGTAATGTTAGTCTAACTGTGACATCAACATCAGGGATTGTTGTTGTGTGGGTGTTGGCTTTTGAAACGACGTCCATCTCTCGATAGGCCTTTGTTTCAATGAAGCAACCTTTCAATTTGTAGCCCCATAAAATTAGTAGAGATAAATTTTGTCCCAAGGGAAAGACAAAGGCAACATGACTCAATAAATTGTTGAAAGGAAGAGCGGTCAATCTAATGTCCCACTTGACAAGGTGACTTGACTCAATAAATTTGTTTGGAAGGAAGAATGGTCTTAATTAATTTGAATGAATGTTGGGTTTGAAATTTGTTGAGGCAAATGATTGTGTGGAGTTTAAGGCTTTTTTTATTTATTTTTTCTTTTTCTTTTATTTAGAAAAAGAACTTTCCTTGAGAGAAGACGGACTGGGCAACAAATGAGGAGCTTTCCCCTTCAGCGTTTCGCAAAAGTCAGAGGAGAAAGTTATTAGTCCAAGAAATGGAATTACAAAAATGGAGACCATGTTTTGGTAATAGGAAAGAGCAAGCTTCAAGATTCAAGGCTATTGATTGAATGTTGTGGTGCTAAATACATTCAACTTCAAGAGTTTATATTTCCCTGCCGAGGAGATAGCCGAAATAGAATCGAATTTCACAGTTAGCCGAGAGCAGCCATGAGAAATTGCAAACTAGAGACCTTTACGGGTGGCTAGGAGCTCAGCAAACAGGGGAGTTTGAGGCTTAGTTTAGGATTGTTGTGGCAGTTAAAATAATTGTTTGATAATTGTAGAAAAATCAACTATAATATAATATGAAGTAAATTAATATCTGATAAATTTCATTTTTGAAGTCCGATGATCAAGAGCAGAAAAATTTACCAAGTCATGGAGTTTAGTTTTCTCCTTTGCAGCGAAGGGTAACCGTGGTTGGCATGCTGTTCAAGTTTTGCCAGTGTTGGGGCCTCATTCAGATAATTAAATTAATAGATAATCAATTTTCTCAAAACTTCCAAGGCGTGGTTGGATAACCATTTCTTTTTAGTTTTTTATTTTTGAAAGTTCGACTAGTTTCCTCACAATTTTCTTAATATGCTTTCACCTTTTTTTCTTAAAACTCATATTTTTCTTCTTATCCTAGTAATTATATTGAGAGTGTTTGGGGTGGTGGTAGAAGGAGTCATTTTAAGTATAATTGATTTTTCAAAATCACCCTCAAAATGATACTTTTAAAATCATTTTTTTAATTTGTCAAACATGATCCATAGAAAGACGGGTGATTTTGACAATGCCAAAATCACTTCCAACTATACCCTTTACTAAGCAACTTCAAACAAAGAGTGTGTTAAACGCGCACTTAAACAACTTTTAACATTTTTACATTCAACTAAGAAAATTAGTTATATGCCAACACGAGCAATGGAAATTGATATCTACTCCTTTCCCTAGGGACAGAAATTTCACCTCAATACCCAATTTGTGATGTTAAAAAAAAAAAACTGCTTTATATTTAATTTTATAATTTCTCAAACCACTTTTGATATCAAATTATAAAAATCATTTTTAATGGGTCAAAATATTTACCAAATAGTATCAATTAAAAGAAGGGAAAAAAAACTGTCTTACATAAACACTTGAAAAAAACATGTGAAACACATTCTCAATGTCAAACACTCTTATACCAAATTAGAATTTAGATGCTCAGATTTTTGTGTATGAGTTGCTCTCTTGGCTTCAAGCCTTCATAATTCTAATGAATGCTTACAAAGTGAGATCACAGCCAAATGAATGAGATGAGACACAGGAAATTGCAACACAAAATACAAAAAGTGATCAAAGAAACTAGAGGCCATGTAGCATAACACAGAGAATAATATTGCAATCATTCTCAATCATCAACTCCTCCCAAAGTTTTTTTTTTTATTAGATTCCATTTTGGATTTAAGAAGTTTGTTCCATTTTACTTTACTCTAAACTTTCAGACTGTCTAGGATAATCTCTAAACTTCGGAAAAAAAATAATCATTTTGGTTCCTAAACTTTCATAATATCTATTTCAGTTTGTGAACTTACAAAAAGAATCATATTGATCGCTGTACGAATACATGCTCACGCCAACACGCTAGTACACTTACATTGTCATCTTTCTAGAGTTTATTAATGAATTCTAATAGACATTTTAGGAGCTCGAGAGCCAGAATGGAACAAACTTGAAAGTTAAAGGACCAAAATAGTATTTATACGTTTCTTTTTCCACAGGTGCACTAAATAGTTATATTGCACAGAACCTACGAATAAACGTCTAAAATATCCGCAATAAATTCAAAATTTGTATCCAAAATCAGAAAAATAAACAATGTGATTTCTGTAATGGTCACATTTCACAGGCAGGCTCTCTAAGAAAAACCCTGAAAAACTGGTCCTATTTCTTTGTAATACATCCTAGAGAACCAAGAAAAAGGCAGTCATTATATTCTAATTGTGATCCAAAATTCACAAGGGTACTGGGAAGTAGTTAAAAGATCAGTTCCAAAGGTCTCTATATTCTTGTAACCACCAGCTAAAACAAAAACTCGAGCAGCAAAAAGAGAGAGAGAGAGTACCCCATGGAAAGAAAAATCTTTGATTCTTGCCGAAGGAACTCATCCCCATAGCCTACTGATAAAGCCCTTTCGGTCCTTTTTCATTCTATTCTGAAGAGATGGGAACTCGATGAAGTTAAAAGCAAGGTCCAGAACGATGGGATTCCGGGGGATTGCCTGAAACGCGGGAGGAAAGGCTTCGATACGTGGAGCGCTTTTGACATTGGGATCACCAATTGCGGACTCATAGTTATCAAGGCTTTGAAGGAGGAATTTGATCGACTGAAATGTATTGAATACAGATTGATACACGTTAGTAACCAAGCAGATATAAACTAATATAAGAACATATGCTCGTGGAAACATGGCTTCTCCAACCAAAAGAAACATAAGTTGGCTAGGAAGGAATAAGAATTCCATGTCAATTGGGCGGGAAAAAAATGATGGAACTTAATCACCATTGAAGACTCTCGGTCTATTGATTTTCATCTACCAAGCAATTCAGTTCATTCATACAAAATCTAGTTCCAACTTAAACAGGAAAAGAGAAACAGAATGAACATAATCAGTACCTTCTTATCAGTTCCAGTCAGTGACATCTTAGAGATCTTCTTTGACAGATTCTCTGGAGCCTTCACCTCCTCAATAATTCCAGTTGCATGCTCTATACAACTGTTGGCTCTGCATTCCTCGACTAATGTCTTCAGCTCTTCGATCATCTTCTGTTGCAGAAAATCCAAGCTCAGGTTTCTTCAATAAATATTGCTTGTTTGGGGAACTACTATCAATTTAAAATAAAAATTACTTGTCTTCAAAATTGTATTTAAAAACTATAATTGAGTGACAGGTAAAGGTTAATGTTATGGTGCACCTAATATTAAAAATTTTAGTTCTTTAATTGTTATAAATAAATAGACAATTTGTGAGACGAAGAAAAAAGAAACAGAGACAAAAGAGAAGACATGTTTCCATTGAATTTTTGTTCTCTTTAAAACAACCCCCAAATAACTTCTAAACCTCACTAAAGAATAGAAACTAGCCCCAAGGACCAGTCCAATTGGCAAGGACTTGGGACCTCTTGATCATACAGACTCAGAGATCTCAACTTTGAACCTTCTGATGAGCTTAATACCAAAAGTATCTCATGGCTGGACCTTGGGAGCAAAGCTCCAACTCCCAGATAAATAAATAAAGAATTCCATAGAAGGAAGAGAAGTTCCACCAACAGACTAGTGCAACCAGCTACAGAAGAGAAAGCTACCAGAGTTATCAGAGTAGTGTAATTGCCAATTTTGAAAAAGCCAATGATACAAGGGGTTTGATGCTTTAACTAGTATTCAACCAGAGTATTCTACATGGTACACGTACCGGATCACTGACATTTGTAATACGGAAGTTCTGCATAGCATCTTCAGCAAGGGAGCGGGCATGGCAGTATAGTAAATAAGCTTCTGCTCTTTTTCCAGCCAAACTGTATGATTTTGCTAGGTAAAAGCACCTGAAAATATACAGAAGGATCCATCGTTTACATAGAAACATCATTTACAGCAAATTAGTGCCAGAAAACATCAATTAAAAATCCACACTTGATGTAATGACATATATTCAAGAACAAATTAACAAAATTATAATTGTAAAAAATCAGAGAAAAAAGATATGAAAACACACACTACTGGTAGAGAAGAAAATGACATCGAAGGAAACGCAATCATTTCCATATGTAAATTTGTTCTGCTTCAGATGTAATGACAAAATGTGGAGGGGCCAAGGAGGGAACAACCAGAACCCGACACCAGTTCTGTTTCACATTAAGCATTTCTACACACTCTCAGAAACGAGAAGCATGAATAAAATTTTTCTTTTTCTTTTTGGTTGGGGGGCATACTAACTGTAACAGGTGGACCATAGGTATCTTCCTTACTCAAACATGCTTTCTGTCTTACAAAGATTGAATAAATTTTAGTAAGCATTGCATTCGACCTTCAAATAGATATGTGCTACAAGGCATGTCATTGCTCGCATAATACCAACTGTGCAGGTTAAATAGAAAACGAGTATGTCAAGTGAACAAGGTGCTTGATAAGGCTAAAAGCGAGTAAGAGTTATGAGGTCAAGGAAAATGGTTGGGACTCGAGTGCACTATGAGCTAATATTCAAATTAAGTAAAAAACAAACAGATTTCAATGTTCAAGAAAAGAACAGGCAATCACTAAAACAAATTGCTGGATCATCATTTCACTACGGGGAATTTCTGATTAGCAAGAAAGATCAAGGACTCAAGGGTAGAAACCTTTCTCCACGGAAAGCTATACTTTTAAGCGAGCACTCTTCAGCAAATGTCACTTCTTCCTGCATCCTATCTCTTCCAGAACTGACTAAGTCAGAAAGATCTGAAATATTCTGCGAAACAAAAATATAAACGCTATTGTTATTCCTCCAGAAAACCTCTATTGATCTAAGGACAGATCAAATAATAGAAAGAATGCAGGAATATATAGAGATGCTTAACTTGTAATAGAAGATCATATAGGCGAACAAGTTCCTCTGGCTTGGTAACTTTCTCATTTTTCTCATCATGGCGCCTAATAAGCTTACTTTTTGCAATGTTTACCAACAACTGGTTGCGATCAATTGTCCTTTGACCCAACACTGCACTAACGGCTTTATCAAGCCCACTTAAATCATCTTTGACATTTTCAGAATTTCCAGCACTGACCTAAAACATACAGAATATTGTCAACTTAAGTCTGGAAAATCAATATGAATTAGTGGAGAGGCAAACTTTCTACCAGAATCAAAAGAAAGCCAATGTGAACCTTCCACATACCAAGTCACTGCGAATAGAGCTCCTTGCCTCATGGTACGCTGCAAATATCTTATCATAAATGGACAATCTTTTCTCCGCTGGAATTGAATCTGCTGCTGAACCTTTCAAGTCCTTTTCTAATTCCCGAGCTGGATAATTTCATGCAGACATAATTAGGAAGTCTAAGTGCAAATATGAACCTGAGGGTAAGGACATACCTTCAACAGATTCCAAAAATAAAAATAAAATAAACATAATAACGGAACCTATAGGATTTGATTTTGGCTCTTATTCCTTAATTTATAAAGCCAAACTGCTTCATGAAGACAATGTAAACCAACAAAACATAGATACCAACGTGGCTAACCTCATAATATACATTGTACCCAGGTAAAATAAAAAAGAGGATAAAAAAATTGCAAAGTGAAGAAAACAACAAAGTCAACTTTTTTTAGACAGGAAATAGAAGGCAAGTATGTGTTAAGAGAAGAAACAAGCGTAACTTGCATTAGATCAAGCAAAATACAAAAGAGTGATAAGAAATCAACCTAAAAACAAAGGGGATTTCAAAATATTAGTCCAATAATCTATAATCATAAAATAATCATTGTTACAAAAAAGAACTAGTGCAAAAAGTCTGAAGGGAAGCGTTCAAAACTAGGATAATTTACACTTCCTCCACATTTCTTGATTTGTCAGGGACAATTCTTTGGTTTAGTCTCCACACAAACTTTCCAAACAAGACACTTGACCACACAACTCATCACATTTCCCGTCAACTTAGAGAGGGTTGCCAACAGAAGTTTGCTCCATACAATGTTGCCCCAACGGAGGGGCACACCAAGCTACATTAAAAAAATGACAAATAGAAACCACAACTATTGGGTACAGTGGCAATGAATAATCAAATGATTCTGTGTCTCTTCCCCTCAATGACAACAAGGACAGCAGGTAGGATAATTTTGAAAGACAGGATTCTGCATTTGGATCATTTCTCCCATGTTGATACTTCCATCAAGCAAGGTTCCACAGAAATAATCTGACTTCTTTCAGTATTCCTTTTCCTCATATAGCCTTTGACAAGCCTCGATGGACAAGAGACATACTTATAGCAAAGTGATGGGAAAAGTAAAACAGAGGAAGTGGAAAAGGTTCCACTATTGTCTAGCTTCCGAATAACCATATCATCTTGCCGTTTAATGTTTTTGAAATTAAAATTTGAAGTTACCGACTTCATTGATTTCTCTGTCAGAAAGAGACCGAGGGAAAGATAGCCTCCAAGAATGGGTGTTGATGTCCCAATAATCCTTCACCATAGCCGGTCATCGGAAAGCTGAAAGATTCTCAGGAGCAAAATTTTCAGACGGTTGTCTGCTGCCCAGTTGTGTTCCCAAAACGCACTCTCCCCCATTAACAGTCTTGATTCTTGAAGGAGAAGAAATCCTCACGTTTATCTCTGTAATTAATTGCAAAATTCCAATGGTTACAAGCCCTAATGTTGTGTGGCCAACTCATAAACCACAATTTTTCAGCTGTTTCTTCTAAGTTTCCTCCATGAATGTTTCTTAATTTACCAACCAAATACCATGAAAAATGATTTACGATTACTTGCCGTTTCATCAATTGGATGTACAAACTCCAATTGAGATAAACCCACAATAATTTTATTTAATGTGTAAGCATGCCTCCAATTAAATCATGTGGAACTGAAACCTCATTCTACTATCATATGTTCCTAATCAATTTCAGCACATTCCACTTTCTTCTATACAAACCATTATTTTTCCTTTAAATACCTCTCATTTTTTCTTCATTGACATTGTTTTTTCTCCCCTTCAACTCATCCTCTCATATATGTTGTTTCCTCTCTCCCTACTAGTTTTTCCCCTCTCTATAGACTATCACATTCGTACAAAAGATTTTCCCACCTTGTTTTTCCCCTTCACCCAATTTCTCCCCATCCTTCACCTCACTCTCCATCTTCCCCTTGAAATACTCCAACATTTCTGAAAATACATTCGATCCACCCTCGTTAACCGAAGCTAGAACTGCAATACATCTCTCAACTCCTTCGTTGGAAAGAGTAGTGATTTCAATTTTCGAAAAAAATGAAAAAGTTCCTTCATGAAAACCAACCTTTCTTGAACAACTTGACGTTCAAAGGACATTGAAGCGGTTCAATTGAAATTTGTTCCAATCAAGACAATTAACCCCATTGAAATCTGATGTAAAACAGAAAATATTTTCTTTTCTTCTAATTTAATTTATTTTTATTTATTTATTCATAAAAAAAGAACTTCACAACTCACCAACTGAACTAATGAAGAAAGATCTGTTTTGCACTCCAAAACAAATAAACTCCATGGAAACTCTTCAAGCTAATAAGACAGTTTCGAGAACGCTCCATGACTAATATAGTTTACACTCGGAGGTTCCATAGGGATGAGTCAACAACACCAAATGGATTGGTTAGTCATCCTATTCCGGATAAGTAGAAATTTTTCCATCTAGAAAGTTTTCTTTTATCATATCTTCAACTGTTCCTCACACCCTCTCATTCCTGGAATTTTGACCAGAGCAACAAAAATACTGCATCAATAAATTTTAGAAACAAAAAAAAAATTACAGAACAACTTCCAAACATGCCATTTAATTTCGGGCTGTCAGCATCTAATGATGTTGAAAGAGAATCACCACAAATGTACACTACAAATCATCACAGGTTAAGTTCCTACAGAAGGGAAATCATCATAAATCTCAATATTTTAATGTTTTAAAAAAAGTCACCAACCTTTCAATATGGCAACTCTCGTTTTTGCATTGGATATTGGAAACCTGTGACCTAGCCAATGAAACTCGGTCAGGGAAACAGCCTGCTGAGATCTGGCCTCCGACATGACAGCCTAAAAGCAGGAGTAAAGGACCGTAAGATATACAAAAGACCTCTAATAAACTAAAAGAAGACATTATAAAATCAACCAAACACAAAGGATAGAAAATCAAAGCCACCAATATGGAACTTTAGTAAACTTTTATCGAAAATCTGAGAAGTCACGTAGTTTGCAGTTGAAGAACATTCCTGTGGTTACTTTTGTCTTACGTTTTTTCAATAACAAGTAGTGTTCTCAGGTCTACCTAACAAAAAAATCAACCAACATCAAAAACAATTATAATACAGCTATAAGTTCGAGTGAAGTTAACTTCTAGAACCTATGTTCCTGGGATCTAATGACATAACACTGATTGGAATAAGTATAGATGCAAGTAAAAAATATTAGGAAATTGGTTTTTAAAGATCAAGCGGGTCAATTATTCCACAAAACTTAATTCTTGTAAGGAAACCAATTTAACTGTCAGGTCTTCTCAATTATAAAATTTTTACTAAAAAAACTAAAGAAAAAAAAATGTCAGACCTTTGTTAATACAGATTTCTTTCAGTAAATTTTTTAGTTTATGGTGCTCGTACATACGTTATATATGCATATAAATAAATAAAAAATAGGAACAAGAATAACAAATGCATAAAATTGGAAGTAAAAACAAAGCAAACAGACCTCTAATTTAGCTTTGAAAAGGTCTAGAGCAGGACCTTCCATCTCCCCAATATGTAGAAGTTCAGAGGCCTGTAGATTAGCTTTGCCAATCTTGTGCAAGCAGTATCGTATACTAGGTTCCAGCTCCTCCACGCGTTCACGACACAAAACTTGATGCTCCAGATCTCCTACTTTCCCAAGTTGCTCATAAACAGCTCTAAAAGATAATAAAACGTTAGCTAATCATGTTATCTGACAAACCAAGATGAGATGATAAATGATGCAGAGAGTTTAGAGAAATCAAATATCCTATTCAATCTTTTTCTTTTTTACATATGGATAACCATATACAATCATCGATAGACTATAATTGAATCGTATTCAATTAGGAGATAAGATTGGACATTTTACTTGGATTTGAATTTATTGTCTCCCCAGGATTCTTCTTTTCTTTTTTTTTCTTTTTTTTTTTGGATCAAGACTCTATGCTAATCATAATAAATATAGGCACTTATCTAATAAAAAATAAATATAGACATGTAATTTCAGAATAAATTGCGGAACCATGTCCTCTTGTAATCCTCCCTTGCCTTCATTCTTCTATATTATCTCCTATCCCTATTCTTTGAAGGCATCCTACCAAAACAAACTTTCTGCAGCCATCGAGACTTTGGGGGGGAAAATAAAAGGGCATACTTTGCGTTAAAAGATGAAATTTTACATGAGAACCTTTTTCAAACTGATAAGCAATGTTAGCATTAACAAAAGGCCTTTTTTGGAAGGTCTGTATTGGAGTCCAATTTCTGTTTCTGAGAAAGATAGTTTGGAAGTCCCCTTCTCCTTGGAAGAAATTCGTCGGGTGGTGTTTGGGTTCGACAGAAATAAATCCCCTGGTCCGGATGACTTTTCTATGGCTTTCTATCAAGATAATTGGGACGGTATTAAGGAGGACTTGTTGAAAGTATTTTGGGAGTTCTATGAGAGGGGGTGATTGATGCCTCCATGAACGAGACTTATGTGTGTTTGATCCCGAAAAAGGAGAATGCGGTCAAAGTGAAACAAGTCTCTACAAAATTATTGCTAAAACTCTTGCAGAGAGGCTGAGAAAGGTGATGCCTCCTACTATTTCTGAGACGCAAGGGGCTTTTGTTGCTGGGAGGCAAATTTTGGACCAAGTTTTGATAGCTAATGAGGCGATTGAGGATTATAGGAAAAATAAGAAAGAGGGTGTGGTTCTTAAGATTGATTTCGAAAAGGCGTATGATCACGTGGATTGGAACTTTTTAGATAAGATTCTTGGGAAGAAAGGTTTTGGGTATAAATGGAGGGCTTGGATGTGGAGTTGTATTAGGACGGTTAATTACTCCATCCTGGTGAATGGGAGACCTAAGGGTAAAATCTTCGCTTCTAGAGGCCTTCATCAGGGGGATCCCTCATCTCCTTTCCTATTTATTTTGGTGGTGGACATTCTTAGCAGGTTAGTCTCCGTCGGGGTCGAGAAAGGGAGTCTGGGAGCCTTTGAAGTGGGTAGGGAGAAAGTAACCCTCTCTCACCTTCAGTTTGCAGATGATACTGTCCTTTTCTGTTCTGGTAAGGACAGGGCTTTCAATAATCTTAACTGCCTCCTTGGTTTTTTTGAAGCTCTTCCTGGCCTTAAGATTAATCGAGACAAAAGCTCTCTTTTGGGGGTGAATTGTGACATGGGTAAGCTTAGAGAGTGGGCTTCCCTGGTTGGGTGCGAAGTTGGTGAGTTTCCTTCCTCATATCTTGGTCTTCCTTTAGGTCATAATCCTAGGAGTGTGACTTTCTGGACGCCGGTGTGTGAAAGTTGCAGAAGCGCCTTTCTTCTTGGAAGAAGCGTATTTTTCTAAAGGAGGGAGACTTACATTAATTCAATTTGTTTTGAGGAGAATTCCGTCTTACTTTATGTCTCTATTTAAGATCCCAGTGGCTGTTAATGAGGGTCTAGAAAAGATCATGAGGGATTTTCTTTGGGAGGGGGTAGAGGAGGGGGGTGGTACTCATCTAGTCAATTGGAATTTGGTTACAAAGCCTCTAGATGCAGGGGGTTTGGGCATTGGAAACTTGAGGCTTAGGAATGAGGCTTTTCTAACTAAATGGTTATGGCACTTCTTCTATGAACCTAGGGCCCTGTGGCGAAGGATCATTGTGAGTAAATACGGGCCTCACCTGTTTGACTGGGTCCTTGCAGGTGGTCTTAAGGTGAGCAATAACAATCCCTAGAAGGCTATCGCTTCATGTTTCCCTGCTTTTTCTCGTTCTCTTCGTGCTGTTGTGGGGGATGGTCAAAATACTTATTTCTGGGAGGATTCGTGGGTTGGTGATAAACCTTTGTGCCTTGCTTTCTATCGGCCTTATTTTCTATCTGAAAATAGGCTTCTTTCGGTGGCCGATATTTTGAATCCGGGGGGAGGTTAATTCCATTTCTTTGGGCCTCTCTCATCCCTTGACGGATCGGGAGTCTTGTCCGAGTTGTTGGTGTTGTTGTCTGAGGTGTCTTTATTTGCTGGGAGGGAGGATGTGAGGGTGTGGTCCCCCAACCCCTCGATAGGTTTTTCTTGTAAATCTTATTTCGATATTTTGATTTCCCCTTCTCCTTCTTCCCCTTCGGCCCGTTGGTTCAACTCTCTTTGGAAGATTAAGATTCCGAAGAAGATTAAATTCTTCAGGTGGAAAGTTTTACTTGGAAAAGTCAATACTTTAGATCGTATCCAAAGGATGTCTTCCTTTTATCTGGGCCCACGGTGGTTCTGTAGGAATGCCTCTGAAGATTTGGAGCACTTGTTATGGAGTTGTCAGTTCGCTCAGGATGTTTGGCTCCGTTTCTTTGATTGCTTTGGCTTGTCTTGAGTCCGTTCCAAAGATTGTAAGGGGATGATGGAGGAGGTGTTGTTACACCCTCCTTTTCGTGACAGGGGTCGTTTTTTGTGGCAGACCTGTTTTCTGGCTGCTATTTGGGGGATTTGGTTAGAGAGAAACAATAGGTTGTTTAGAGAGGTGGAGAAATCTGTTGATTATGTTTGGAATCTCATTAGATTTAATGCTTCTTTATAGGACTCTGTTTCTAAGGCCTTTTGTAATTATCCGTTAGGTCTCATTCTTTATGATTAGAGTCTGTTTCTGTAAGGGACTCCTCTCGGGGTTGGTTTTTTTGTAGGCCCTTTTGGTTTCTTTTGTTTCTCTTTTCATTCTTCTCAATGAAAGTATCGTTTCTTATCAAAAAAAAAAAAAAAACAAATCATACATTAGCCACACTCCCAAAATATCCAACACCGTCTGTGTGAACAATTTTAGACCCACAAATCTTACCATTTGATATATATATATATATATAAATCATTACTGAGGTTTTCTAACCAAGAGACTGAAGAAGACTATCCCTCCTTTTCACTATTTCAGATCTCTATAAAGGGGAAGACATTATTGACCCTATTTCAATATCTAATGAAGCAGTGTATGAGAAAAGAAGAACGAAGAAGATAGGCTTGGTGTTTAAGCTTGTCTCTTAAAAACCATATGGTATTATTCATAGCTATTTCCTTGATGAAATGCTTGATAGAGGATCCAGCCTCTGGAAATAGGTGGAGAAGGTGGATATGGCATGGAGCTGTAATTTGAGTGATAGCTTTCTTACTATCATTAACTGAAGACCTAGAGGCCACGATTCCTTCAAGGGAAATAAGATAAGAAGATCCTCTCTCCTTTTCTTTCTGTTTTAGTTTCTGATGTCTATGGTAGGCTACTTGACAAGGCTTTCAAGTTGACCAGGATGGTATTCCAATAAACTACTTATAAATTGCATATAAAACTTCATTTTTATAAATCCAAAGCCACTAACCTCCTCAACCTAGTTAGAGCTTTTGAACTCCGTTCCAACCTCTATGAATCTTCAAATGTAAACCATTGCATTAATGTTGATCCTAATGAAGTAAAAGAAGAGTAGAATGGTAAAATGGGGGGTGGCCCCTCAAATATTTGGGCCCTGCTTTAGGAAGGAATCCAAAAGGCTGGAAGTTCTGGCAACTTATTAAGGGAAAGATCTTGAGCATGACATACAATTGAAGAAATCTTTATTGTCTAAAGTTAAAAACCTCACCATTGCTAATCAATCCTTGTCAATCTCCCAACCTATTTCCTTTCACTTTTCACAACCCCTTGCTCTATAGCTAAGAAGGTTGATAAGCTAAATAGAGATCTTTTGGGGAGGAGGGGGTAGATATGGATGAGGGTGCACCTAGTTAGCTTGAAAACAAATTTTCTACCTTGGGATAAATCATAAACGAAATCTAGGCATCGTGACATACTGGCAAAAAGAGAAGAAATAAGGCTATGCTTGCCACATGGTAACAAAGATCTGCACTAAAAGTCGATACGTTATGGTATAAAGTTATAGATAGTATTTAAGGTACTAAGGCTAATGGATGGTTCATTGAAAAGTGATCTAGAAATAATTCTTGGAGTCCTTGGTTTATAACCTCAAATTAAGAGATCTAATTCTAGACTACTATGGTTTTGGACCAGTAATAGCAGGCACGCCAATTTTCAGGACTAGGAGGATGCTTGGAAGGAGAATCATTTTATAAGAAACAAGGAGAATAAATTCAAAATAAAGAGGAACAATCTAAAGGTCGGGAGTAGAGGGAACTCCTGCCAGAATAAACTAAACAAGAAAGGTCTCTTCTAATAGTTAACATACATCAAGAGGCTGTAATTCAAAAAGAATTTTGTATGATTTGAGCACCACCAAGAGACAGAAAGCTTAAAACTATTACAAAAATCAATCAAAAGAAGATGATTTATCTTTAGTAATACTTCTTCTCTTTGGGATACCTACCCAATTCTAGTAAATTTTTGGAGTCAAAATCATGACATGAAATCGGTTAAAAACTCCACCATAACCCGATGCAAATCGAATGCACTAGTAAATCACATGATTCTAGGAACGACTTACTGTATTTTATTTGTTGACAAGCTAGAGTTTGAGAAACAAAGATCTTTGGTAACTTTCATTGTCAAAATTGTCAAATAGGCTTTTCTTTTGGTATAGCTTATCTAGTAAAGCACAAAACAAAGTAGTCGTCTTCTCTTTCCTTATTCAATAAATAAAAGTTCCTAAATATAAGTTCCTACTATATATATCCTCTCTATAGAAATATATAATATTTAATATATATTGAGAAAAGACATAACTGCACAATTCCAGAGATCTTTTGCAATTCCTTTGAACGGAACCAAAAACTCACTTTGATGGAGAATTATCCCCTTGCTATTCCTTTTCAAGATTGTACAATCTCTCAAATAGCTGAGTTAGACAATCACTCCGCTTTGGAATGAGGTCACTTGCTAGAATTGGTATTCAAAAGACGAGGGAATTGGAGGAACGTGTTCTACGAGCTTGTCATGAGAACAAAAGTTATTGAAGCTCATTTATGCAAGCTATTTGGAACTTGGAAGACCCAATACCATAAAGAACTACAGGGTCTTTTTGTTCACAGTTTGCCGAAGGGGAAATGTAGACTAGAAAATCCTTACGAATACTCCTTGTCAAGTTGCTGTATTCTTTGGAAAAGCAAGAGAAATATTGCTGATCACTTTTTCCTTAGTTGCACTTCCTCGCTAAAGCTTTGATGATACTTTTGGTGTTGACTTATCCCAACCTTAGAGACTCAACATAGCCCTTCATATCCTTCTTTTGGGTCAAACCTTCAAAGATAAGACGAAGACTCTCTCACTTAATGTTTCTAAGGCCATTTTTTGTGGGAAATTTGATTGGAACAAAATATAACTTTTCAATGAAAGGAGAGGGAGAGGGAAGAATTTGAGATGTCAACCCAGTGTAATCATAGCCACCTAAAATAAAAACAAGTAATATGCAAAATTGTAGGAATTGAAAGCTTGAAGGGAGGCACTTTAACCTAATTCCATCCCAAGTCTCTTCTAAATCCCCCTCTTGTCATAAAGAATACATCTACTCTGTGTCTTTCAAGCTTTCCAAGAATGGCAGCGACCTTGTTATTCTAAAGGATTTTAGGCCTTTCTTATGGATATTTTTGGCATCTCGATATGTGTCCCCAGACAGATTGAAGGTTGGTTATCGGATGTTTTCACGGGCTGGCTTCTTCCTAGAAAAGCTAGATTCCTTTGGAATTGTGCAGCAAGTGCCATTGGCACATTTGGTTAGAAAGGAACTGGCACACTTTTGAAGATAATGCACATACTTTTGACTTTTTTTGTAGAACTATATAGAACACCTCTTCTCGGTGATGTCTCAATCAAAGGAAATTCTTTCTTTTGTAATTCCAGCATATCCATGGTTGTGAACAATTGGAAAGTCATCATTTAGTGTTTTATAGGT